GTAACTACACGGCTACGGGACCATAAAAAGAAAATGAAAAAATATAAGCAGTCAATACCCACTGATTAGTGGACGGACAGGCCCGTCTACGAAACTCTGGAGTCGGGATGCTGAACGTAATATCAATAGCTCTAAATCGTATCCGACTGGGTGTCATGATGGGTATATTGAATTTCGTATATTTGTAGCCCAGCATCACTTTGTTAACATGCTGCTCTTACCCAATCTAAAATGACTCTTTCAATTGTAAATATTAATCATTTAGCAAAATCACCGAAAACGTTTGTTTGTTATTAGTTACTGACAAATATGTGTTACAGATTAAGCGTGTTTCTTTCTTATAATTGCTAAACTTAAATGTTATGTTTCTCTAAAATACCTCTCTATCCACTATCTAATTTCTCCCTCTCTTTCTCTCTCTTTCTATATATATATATATATATATATATATATATATGTAAGTGAACATTAAAGTCAACACTCACTGTCACCAATCTGTGTCGTGTTCAAACGCAATCGTTAGGTCTGACGATTACTTTAAGCATGAAATAGTCTATTGCCGATATATATATATATATATATATATATATATATATATATATATATATATATATGGATTGATGTGAGTTTATCATATGTTAGCTCTATCACTGATTTTGAGCGCTTTCCAATCAGTACCGCACATATACAATTGTGATAGAAAGAGTCTGGGAAACACACACGTATATTTTTTTTTTAGTGAAATTGGAGTAGATTTGGACAAGCGAAATTGATCAGAGCATTTCATTTACTGATGGGAAATCTGATCTAGGGCAGGAGATGTACCCACTGGAACTGGTCATTAGCAGGCAATGGAAATGGTCGAAAAAATTTTTAATGATTAAAACTTGGAATAGAGCTGAGTAAGCAAGGAGGACTTTAGAATTCACATGATTTTGGTTCAAAACAGCCAAAACCCCGTGATAATCACGTGCAAAGTAGTAGGGCCAAGGTTCAGTTGTAACCAGCCGGATTTTTCTCTATAAATAGCGTAGTTATGCTGAAAAAGAGATAGACAGAAGTGAGATACAGGAGAGAATTAGCCCAGGCAAGGGTTGGGCTAGAGACAGTGGAGAGTCGAGTTGGAGACACAAGAAGGAGAGAAAGTGACGTCAGAGATTGGAACGAAGCGTCCGCTAACATGTACTGTTGATATAATTACCGCTGCTTCTGCTACCATGAATATTACTACTACTGCTAAGGAGGAACGCCACTATAAATATTAAGCCGCACACAGAAATCTTATTCCCCCATCGCAAGAGTCGTATAACTTTCTGCGACGATTTAACAACAAGTTAATCATTACACACTCTATCTCTATCCAGAATCCAGTGTATGCGTTGTTACATCAATCACTTTTCTTTTCTGTAACCCGTTTTCTTTTCTATACTATTCTTTTCTGCTATATAAAAGACATTAACAATTCAATCATTGAATAGTTGTTTGTCCGGCTTTCTGCAGATATTAATTTTTTTTATTACTGCATTCTATATTTTCCTAGCACAGACTCTCCAGCCATGTCTACATCTTCAGTCGAGCGTGAATGGATGAACATCACTTCTGCTTTCTGGATCAAAACACACACAACGTGGGCAGGAAGCAGGATTAAACCAGTGGACCGGTCGAATAATCTATGGATGTTCAGGGGACCTACAACCACTACCCTTAAGTTCGGTTAGGACCGAGTAGACACATCAACCCAGAGAGTAAGGCGTCGGAGGTTGAGGGGCTGGGGCGAACGTGTTAGACAATATATAAATAATATATATAAAAATTGCATATATATATATATATATATATATATATATATATATATATATATATATATATATATATATATATATATTTATATATATATTTTATACATACATATTTACACACACACACACACACACACACACACATATATATATATATATATATATATATATATATATATATATATGTGTATGTGTGTATGTGGTATATTATGCTGTGTGGTATATTATATCTGTGTGTGGTATATTATGCTCTATTTGCATAATGAAATGTCACGCCATCATATAAGTTATTGAATATATTTGCAATAAAAGCAGATGAAAATTCACATGCCGTATTTCTCACATACATAGAGGGTTCTCCAGAAAATGACACCAAAATCAGCTGATTAATGCTAATTTTATCTTGAAAACATTAACTTGCATATTAAGTCTATAACGTATATAAATAATATATTTGCATTTGTAATTTGAATGATGCCTTTACGTGATAATAATTATAGCGATTTTCAAGCTTGCAATAACAATTTTCGTTGTAATGTAAGTAATTATATACCAGTAGAAATGACAAGTGGGTTTGGTGCTAATATAAAACGTTAATGATTTTGCCTCATTGCGATGCCGTGAGAATAAAATTTGGTTTGCTATTTTCTTGTGTATCTCATAAGTATTGAAATCGATTATTATTCTCTTTACTGTTCTCTCCTAGATAATTAATCATAAAAATAGACAAAAACGCAGGCAAGATGTTCTTCATCTATTCTTTTCGTTTTCCTTCAGAACGTGCCCGATTATGGCTCGTCAAAATGTTCTGTCCTTTGCAGATATTAGTAAAGTTTGACTTTTTTGCAATTTCTCTTAATCTCTGTTCTGCCAATAATTTACACAAGCTCTGGAAAACATATAAAAACATCTACACCTCAAACTACGTAAGAATAAGTAATAAAATGAGAATGCAAAAAAAAAAAACTTTAAAAATCGGCATTTTTGCGCCTTGGATGATTACCAGGGGCTAAAGCCGCAACAATGCAGACTTTGATTTAAGGCATATATCTTGCCGGTACAGGGTTGCAATTGTTTTTTTTTTTCTTCATCTACGCCTCAAACTACGTAAGAATAAGTAATAAACGATTTCAGATATATTGGCTCATCGATAAGTAATTTTTCAAAAGGCATCAAAGTGGGAAAAGCTCAGTTACAAGGCACATGACGTTTGGAAATCAAATCTGAACAGATCCTCAGGGTTCGAAGCTACAAAATACGAATATTCCTAGCTGAAGTAGAGTCTATATTGCTCTGTGATATCCACCTGGTATTCTCAAGCTATTTTCTTCACAAATAGAAGCTTTTTACTGAATGTATTTAAACTGTTGGGTCATAGCTGTGTACTTTCCATCATCCCATCCATACGAAAAACTATGTGCTTCATCGTGGGTAGCTCAATGTGGTTTGCGTAGAACCAGTTACTGCTCTTTCTCTTCACGTTACAACTTACAATGAATTGACCGTCTCTGAAAGGTTTTTGAAGACTACAGACACGAGGCAGTGTATTTTTCCCCCAAGAAAGGCAAGAAAGCTACTAACACGCACGTGATTACTGAGTGTGAAAGAATAAAAAAAAAAAATTAGGGAGCGAGAACATTAAAAGAACAGAATTTGAAAAGATAAAAGATTACGATTGACATGACATCTTTTCATTTCCTATGTCAGATTGGAAGCTTTCTTATTAATGCTCTCCACAGGCCTGGAAGTGAAAATGTGAATGTTAAATATGGGTGCCAGCCGCGTAAAATAAGGTCAGATTGATTTCCATTTATGGCCTTCGAATGATGTGTTCTAAACTACCTGGTATTCGATGTGGTGTAATGGTTAGCAAGCTTGGGACACTTCGATGTGGTGTAATGGTTAGCAAGCTGGTCTCGTTAGATAACTTACGACTGAGTAGCAAGTTCGATCCTCTCTGGATTCTCCATACATTCGGCCTTGTGGCCACATCTAAACCATGCTTAGTACATTGCTATATGGCTGAGGGCGACAGAGAGAACAAGAGCCGGAGGGGAGCCCAGAAAATATTATGACATGTAGGCATCTACGTGCATATATATATATATATATATATATATATATATATATATATATATATATATATATATATATTACACAAATGATCACCAAAAACAAGGCACAAGAGCCGCTCAAGCTAGAGGATTAATATGTGATATTGAAGGAGAGTAAGAAAGTGAAATTTATGAGGTTACTTTTGAAAGATATCGGTTAACCTTAGACATGAAAAGGTCAAGATTGTAGCGATGGGGAAACAGCCTGCCAGGAGTCTGTTCCACAAAGTAGCAGTTCTTGGGAAGAAGCTTTCCAAGTGGAACTTCTTTCTTAGGGAGTACGAAGAAAATGAGGATGAGTATGATGTACAGCTGGGACCTGCACAGGTCAGGGCTAGTGTAAACAAGGAACACAGCTCGCCGGAACACATACCAGGGAAATAGCAATAGAGTAGTTTCGTAGTGGGTGTGTGCATATATATATGGTTATATATATTTATATGTTTGTATATATATATATATATGTTCGTATATATATATATATATATATATATATATATATATATATGCGTGTGTATGTGTGTGTGTGTCTTTGTGTGTGTGTGTACGTGTGTGCGCACCTGCATATGGTGCAGGGAGGGACAAACAGAATGTTTTAGATTTTATTGCCATAAGTAAGACATAAATTAGCGCTTCTTATATTGTCATCGTGATATTGCAGATATGTTCCCAAGCATAACTTTGTAAAATGATTTGATTTATTAATCTTGAGTAACTGGAAATCTGTGATTTCAAAATCCTTGTGTCGAAAGTCTTTTACGAGATGCATTCGTTGTTGATGCTAATATGTCAAACGAAAAAGCGTAAAGAATCAAAAAGGGAGACAAGTCGCTTTTGGCTGAATGATTCATGAATCCGACCGTTAGAATTTTATGCACAAACCGAGCTCACGTGAATTTCTGGAAGCTGATGTATTCAGAAAATAACCGATATTCTTAATTAATTCATAAGTATCTTAAAAGGTTTTGATTAAGAACGCAAAAAAATGAACGATTATTCTATTGTCTAGACCTGTTTTGCATATCACCTAAAGCAGGTGTCTGAAACTCAAGGGCACAGAAGGGTCATCATCGCCAGGGTATTACCAATGCGGATGGGATTGACTTGCCAACCAGGAGGCCTGGTAACCGGTGTACAGGTTTGCACCGACTCCCTTAGCCTGAGGTTCCCAACCAGAGTTCCATGGGTCACAAAACTAAAATGAGTTTGGTATTTTTGAGTAATAGGAATTGTGAAAGTGAAAGGGAGAGAGTGAATGGAAAAGTGAGAGAGTGAAGGAGAGAGCATGTGAAGAAGAGAGGAAGAGAGTGAAGGCGAGAGGGATAGCGAGTGAAGAGGAGAGAGTGAAGGGGAGATGGAGAGTAAATGGGAGAGTAAGAGAGTGAAGTGGAGAGAAAGATTGAGAAAGATGAGAAAATGAAAGGGAGAAAAAGTGAGAGAGTAAAGAGGAGAGTGAGAGTGAATGAGAGAGGAGTTGAGGGGGAGAGAGAGTTAGGGTAGGAAGAGGGAGGATGAAAATAAAGGGGAGAGAGCGTGAAAGGGGGAGTATGGAAGGATGACAGAGAGAGAGAGAGAGAGTGAAGAGGAGAGAGAGAGAATAAATGGGAGAGTGATAGAGTGGAGCGGATAGAAAGAGAGAGTTTGAAGATGAGAGAGAATGAAAGGGAGAAAGATAATGAATGAAAGAATGATAGAGTTAAGGGGAGAGTGAGAGTGAGAGAGAGTGAGTGGAAAGGAAGAGAGAGGGTGAAAGGAGGAGTGTGAAAGGACCAGAGAGAGAGAGAGAGTGAAGAGGAGATTTCGCATGTATTTCAGCCGTTCCTGTTTACTGAATATATCTTTGACTGAAAACAAAACAAAAAATTGACGGCTAATTACGAAACAAGAATCATTGATTGTAAAAAAAAAAGAAAAAAATACTATCCGACATTAGTTAATGCAAGAAATGTCCTTCTGCGTCAGAAGAGCCTTTTTTTCCTTCCCTGGTAAAGAACAAGAACAGACCTCGCAGACCTTAAAATAGATTGACTGCGCGTTGCAACTTAAGTATAGCTCAAAAGTATGAATGAGGACAGGGAAAAATTTATTAAACATTAAATGTTGAGGAAAATATTGGTCACTGAAAATGGTTTCCCTCGAGTTGCTATATATATATATATAGAAATAGATTGACTGCGCGTTGCAACTTAAGTATAGCTCAAAAGTATGAATGAGGACAGGGAAAAATTTATTAAACATTAAATGTTGAGGAAAATATTGGTCACTGAAAATGGTTTCCTCGAGTTAATATATATATATATATAGAAATAGATTGACTGCGCGTTGCAACTTAAGTATAGCTCAAAAGTATGAATGAGGACAGGGAAAAATTTATTAAACATTAAATGTTGAGGAAAATATTGGTCACTGAAAATGGTTTCCCTCGAGTTGCTATATATATATATATAGAAATAGATTGACTGCGCGTTGCAACTTAAGTATAGCTCAAAAAAGTATGAATGAGGACAGGAAAAAATTTATTAAACATTAAATGTTGAGGAAAATATTGGTCACTGAAAATGGTTTCCCTCGAGTTGCTATATATATATATATATATAGAAATAGATTGACTGCGCGTTGCAACTTAAGTATAGCTCAAAAAGTATGAATGAGGACAGGAAAAATTTATTAAACATTAAATGTTGAGGAAAAATTGGTCATGAAAATGGTTTTGAGTTGCTATATATATATATATAGAAAATTATTGGTCACAACAAAAGTATAGCTCAAAAAAATGAGGACAGGGAAAAATTTATTAAACATTAAATGTTGAGGAAAATATTGGTCACTGAAAATGGTTCCCTCGAGTTATATATATATATATATATATATATATATATATATATATATATATATTACACAAATGATCACCCAAAACAAGGCACAAGAGCCGCTCAAGTTAGAGGATTAATGTGTGGCATTGAAGGAGAGTAAGAAAGAGAAATTTATGAGGTTTCTTTTGAAAGATAGCAGTTAACCTTAGACAGGAAAAGCTCAAGATTGTAGCGATGGGGAAACAGCCTGCCAGGAGTCTGTTCCACAAAGTAGCAGTTCTTGGGAAGAAGCCTTCCAAGTGGAACTTCTTTCTTAGGGAGTACGAAGGAAATGAGGATGATTCTCTGCAGGTCCCAGCTGTATAGGTCAGGGCTAGTGTAAACAAGGAACACAGCTCGCCGGAACACATACCAGGGAAATAGCAATAGAGTAGTTTCGTAGTGGGTGTGTGCACGTGTTTGACAAATTTTGGTCACCAATTAATGCTAGGTTTATCAATTATATATAGGATGGCATTAATATTATTTTCCGTGAGTACAGATATTTATCGAAACATTAAAAAAAACAAAGAAAAAAAACAAAAACAAAAACAAAACAAAACAAAAAAAAAACAAAACAAAGGCGGTTAGAAAGAAATCGGAAGCAACCTTTTTAAAGAATTTGCCCCAAGCAAGGTAATAAAACAATTAAGACGCAAGGGAACTACTAGTACATAATATGAGAAAATGAAAAACATCATTAAGAAGAGAGAACAATAAGAGAACAGGAATTAAGAAGATGACGATTGACATTGCATTTAAATTTTGAATATCAATGTTGGCTGGAAAGCAAAAATGTCCGAAGAATGCTACACAAGACGAAGAGAAGAATCTGTTAGCATAGAACTTACGGCTATATCTAGCCATTTCAACAATAAAATGATGAGACCTTGCCGCCAATCTAGTATTCGCTTAATGATGAATGGTAGACATATAAATACGATATGGGTGAAAAGTTCATAAGCTGACCAGGAAGGAGTGGTACTAGATCTGTAAAATATTGCATGCATAAATTTCGAATCTTCTTATTAATAACTGCATTCTGACTTTTCAAAGGCGACTGTTTATACAGTCGGTTAAAAAGGTCATCAGCAGCAGATATAACGTCATCATCACTGTAATGCTGGTTCCCAGCGAAGTGTTTTTTTTTTCATGTTGGGGAACATGAGAATAGAGAGAATGATTGACCAGATCAAAGCCAGAGTCAGGCTGAGTAGCCATTGAAACCAAGGATTTCCCTTTCTTCAGTTTTTCTGGGCGAGTGATCTTGATATTCGTTCGGATCTGCCTCAGCAAGTAGGCATAGTGCTTTCCATTGATGGTGTGGCCCTTTTGAAGATAGTCTATAAACACAATGACTTTTGCATTCCAAAAAACACTAAGGCCAACACATTCTCTGGAGATGAAACGCCTTTGGCTTTCTTTGGAGCAAGTAAGGTGGGTGTTTCCGCTACATGGATTGTCTCTGGCTCAAAGTGATGGACCCAAAATTCATCCGGGGTTAGGAAACCAGATGGATCGGCCACAGACAATGGAAGATTTTCCAGTGATTTGATGTCTGATGCACTTTTGGTTTGGTTTCAGAAAACGTAGAACCTACAGAGCAGAAACCTTAGTCATACCAAGTTCATTGTGTAAAATATTATTAATACTTTGACAGGATATGTTGAAAACGATCAATGTTTTCCTCTGTGGTGGCAGTCAATGGCCATCTAAACATTAGGTCATCTTCAAAACTCTCCCCTACTAAATTTAACATTCTACTATGGCATTGTTGATAAATCTGTGGCGCCATCCTCTAATGTAGCAAACATGTCGGCATAAATATTCCTTTAAACTCTCTTTCTGCAGGTACTTGATGAATCCTTAATGCCAGTTTTTCTTCATTTTCAAGAGAAGGCTCTACTAATTACATATGAAGTCTTCTTTCAACAGTCAGCTGTCAGTTTACTTGGAAAGAAACAATGCGGTGTTAGTAAAGAAGAGTTGAAATTAATACATAGTATATTTCCCTGCTCTAGCATCATTCCTTCATAGTGAATCCTGACCGTTTCAGCTCACCCTCGTATATAAGATAGATTATGACGAGGAAGAATTTTTAGCACAACAAAATGAACCAACTTTCCTAGCAGCAAACCTAGTATTTAATTCGATATGATCTTTCCATTTCATGTCAGCGGGAAATGTTAGCCCGAGAAGACGCCATGAGTCACTCTCTCTGAGTAAAGCGTTACTCGTGTCCATTAAGAGTCACATGAACGAACTTGCACGGCGCATACTAATTATGAAAGAAAGAAGGTTAACCCAACACGCTTAAGAAACAACGAGAATCGTTCCTTATCTTCTGAGAAGTTGGATTAAACCCGTTTTGATCCTACATAAGTTGTTCCTGAAAAAATGTTTACATATGAATTGTCTCAGGGATTCGTCGTTTGTTTGAAGGAGAAGAGGATGTGTTTTATTTTTCACAAGATGTTTACATTGTAATTTCAATTTTATTATAAAAAAATAAAACAATTCCAGATAGATGAACTTGACGAAGCGGCTGTTATAAATAATCAAGAGTGGCCTCCCCTTTTGTTATGAATAATCAAGAGTGGCCTACCCTTCTATTGTTATTCTCCTCTTTGAGGGAGCTATTTCTGTTTACTGGAACTATAAAAGGACACTATACGCGAACCTTGTATTCTCAAATGAATAAAGCTTTCTTAAAAGCCTACACCTGCAATATTGTATGCATATAGAATGAACAAATTTTAAAATGTTTTGATGGGGATATTTTAAAGTGGACATTAATCACGTTAGGCCCAATAGATTATGAAGTTCATGAGCTATTTGCAAATGCATTCTCTTCTGCTAGTGTATAGCTGGCCACTGGTATTCGAGGATAGCCGTCTACTTGCAGTCGCTTGCATTTGTGTTTGTTCAACGCTAGACTGAGCAGACCTTAGTTACAGTTTCTTTCTAGCATGATCAACATCTACCACAATTTCCCATGGTATGGTTTACAGGCACCTTCCAAAGGTAAAATCCGATAACATTAGTAAGTCTACTTGCTGACGAATCGACCATAGATGAGATTCGAACCTGGGTCTTAACTTCAGAATGCGAGCGTTCTAACCACTTGGCCGCGTGTCCATGCCTGCTAATAATAATGTTTATATACATAAACTGGGGCATTTTGGGAAGTACAGTTTTTTTTACAATATATATATTGATTATTTATATGTATTAGATTTCCGTGAACTACTTTCAGTTCCAAACGCCAGCTCGTCACTAGTCTACGCCGGCAAATACAATATTTTTAATCTTGAAATGTTTTTGAGTCGGATCAGTATTTCTAATAAAATAATAAAGAATAACAAATAGGAATTTTGTTACTTTTTTTTACTAGTATTTCTTTCATGGGCAACAATGGGACGAAAGTCATTGATTAGATGAACTACTTGTCTGATACATAATGTTTAACAGAGATAGCTAACTTCACAGACAGCTGCAAGAGATCTGCATGCAATGATATCAGCATACGTACATGTTTACAGGACAGTGCGACATGAAACAGATTTATGCATGTGTTTAAGGATGAATTGTTCCAGTGTTGAGGGCCAGTATGATATAGCAATTAATGCTGCTGATGATGATTAATGGGTCGAATAAGAAAAGGACACAGGGTAGTCGATAAGAGGAAAATTCTGATTTATAACTTTAAAATTCTACGCAGTAATCTATATATCTGTCTGGCTAGCTAGCTAACTATCTATGTGTTTATATATCTATGTCAATCTATTCCGATCGATCTATCTATCTATCTATCTATCTATCTATCTATCTATCTGAACAGCAGTGCTTGGTATCATAAGATATTTTCTGGGTCCTGAAATGACGACTGTAGCCGAAAGGGGCCATCATAAGCACCGAAGGCTTACCTCAGAGGTTTTAAAAGTTTAGCGGGTTTAAATGGCCATATTGATTTAAAGCACAACTACGTCTTCCAATGATATCGTATGACGGCCATATTCAACAACGAACTGGCACCCATTATGCGTGTATAATGTTGAAGGATAGCTGTAAAGGTGGGTTGAATTAAGAGATTTTAGAACATATCAAGCGTCATGGTTAATTATATACATGATTGTGTGCATTTGCCCAGTTGGTTTCCTCCCTCTACAGAAGATTCAGTTGGCGCAATATAGGCTTGACGAATAGGATAAAAACTTTTATCTATGTGTATCGGTGCATTCCTGTAACACAATCTTTTCAAAAGTTCTAATTCATTTTTCTTATCGGGAGATGGTCATATTAAATTGCAACATAATATATTCTATTCATTGGTAGCGCTGCATGCATGAACTGTTATATCATCTGCATAAATATTTATTAATGACCTGAGTATGATCTTCGGCAGAAAGAACGTAGATACTCTTTTCTATGATTACTTAAACGAATGATCACAGCCAATATGGCAGCTCAGTTTAACCTGTAGTAAGTTACTTCGAAAAGATAGTACTGTTTATTAACTCCTGTTGTTCCTAAACTTGTTAAGAAAGATACAACAACCAATAGATTAAGAGACGGTAGGATAATTTGGTTAGATTTGGTTTATATTTAGAGTTGCATTTTTATTCTGTGGCTATGTTTAATATATTAATAAAAAGCAAATTCATGTGTGCCATATTTGATAATGGCGGCCGATGGTTGTTTGCAAGAGAACAGTAAAGTAACTGAAACTATAAGAAAACTTGTGTTGTATGTCTGGATATAGAAAAATTGGCAGTTGATTTCTTTGGCAAATGTTTTGCAAGCGATTTGAATCTCTCTGATGTGGAAGTCCTAACGTCTGGATATCGATGTATTGCGAGTAACAGCTGAAAATGGTCGACGCCAAAACAGCAAAATAATAAAAGAAAACATGCTATAAAAGTCGGTAACGTTTCTTTTCTGCCTCTGATTCAGGTCTGAGAATTGATTGTTTTCTTAAACATTTTCTATTTTGTAAAGGTTTGTAAACAGGAATGGACAATTAAATTTTCTTCTTCGATTTCCTTTTAACTGCAGATAAATATATTTAAATGTTTTTAATCGAATTTATCACAGACAAGTCTGTAAGGCCATTGAAACACAATGGCTTATTAGGTGGAAAAGAATTAGAAAACAAAAATATGAAAGAACGAGAACAATAGAGGAGTAATGAGGACGATAACAATTGATATTTAAATTTTTGAAGATCAATGTTGGCCGGAAATATGGAACCGGAAGAGAGTTCTACAAACGAGAACTACAAAATAAAAAACTCTTAGTATAGAACTTACAGTTACATGTTACCAATTTAACTTTAAACTGATGAGATCTTGTTGCTAATGTAGTACTTCACTTAAATTCTTAAAGTCTAAGTACCATAGTGAAGAGAAAATACGAACAATTACCATGAAAGTATTTATAGAAAAGAAACAGCGAAACAACTATACGGAAGTGGAAAAGTGACTGAAGCCGAGATGCCAGATCAAGACCAATAATAGTGCTGATTCTCCTTTAGATTTTATCAAGAATTTCTAAACATATAGCAAGATTACCAGACCATATGCGGCAGCAATATTATAAGCATGGGCGGATGGTAGACATAGATATTAAAGATAGATTCTGGAAAGAGAAATTTTCTAGTAAGAAACAGTGAACCAATTTCCTTAGCAGCTGATTTAGTAATGGATTCAATGTAGACTTTCTACTTCATGTCAGCCAGAAATGTTGATCCGAGAAGGTGCTACGAATCATTCTCCTCGACGTTAGCAGCAATCAGGATGATGGAAAGTAGAAAGAAGTCTCTGAGATGATTAATAGAGATCAGTTTCGTTTAAGAAGTGTTAAATTAACAAACCATTATTTACCCCAATTAAAGACAGATTTTACGTCGCTTTTAGTTCAGCTGCCAATTTGATCGTATCAAATTGATCAGACTTAGTATCAAGACAGAAGCAAATGGTTGTGTCATCAGCATAGATACCAAGTTGAAAGCTGATGTCATGGGGAAGGTCATTGATGAAAATTAAGAACACAATAGGTCCCTGGGGGACACATGTATTAGTATAGAAGAATCTAGAAGAATGGCCGTTTGGAACAACTTTCATTTCATAATTTGATAAGAATTTCCAAAATAAAAAAAATGATAAAAGAGTTAAAAACTTTTTAATGGCATTCTATTTCTGAAAAATAATGAAAACTATTCGTATTGACTCGTTTTCCGATTCTTAGTCAAACGAAGTCCATAATGTATGTTAGTATCAAACAGAAAAAGAAAATATATCGACTAATAAAAATCTATTATGTGAACAATTCATTCAACATCTTGTCGACCAGGAATAAAAAGATTCTTCATCGATTTTTTTAAGTGAACATGAAAAATGGATCATTTATACCATAAAACGAATGCTTTCGACCTGAAAAAAATCGTCACTTGATAGAAGACAGTGCTCGACATCGAAACAAAGGCAGAATTTACAAAATGAAAGATTTTTTTCTCTTTACTGGGATTCAAAGACAATATTTTTATTTATAACAAATTGCTGGCTCATTTTAATGACACAGTGAGACATTTGAATGATGCATTTTGGGAAACGACTTAGATGGGCGATTTTGCTACATGACAACACCCATCCTCAAGTTGCAAACGCGACACAATAAACGAGAATGGTGTAAGGATAGGAGTTTCTTCTGCATGCAATATATTTCCAGATTTCAGACTAACGCTGCAAGAATTAACTTCAATTTAATTGGGACTTTGTCAAATGGTGTTTTGTCAGCTACACTTGTTGTTCTTTCATTGGTTATACAGGTTGTGTCACTTCGTTGGTCTCCATGATTGACTTCAGACCAATACACTAAAGTCAAACTGTCACCAAAATCTGAATAAAATTTAAATCAGCTGTCTTTTCACCAAGAAAAAAAATTTCTTGCTGTAATATAACACATGTGGTTTGTATTGTTTACTTTAATTGTTACTCCATAGAAAAATTTTGACGAGCACTTTTCAATGACGGTGAAGGAGGAATGTGACTGGATCAAATTTTCCAGTCTCAAAATTTTGCAGACTATGAGCTCTTACTAATAGAAAAATACTCAACTTTTTGGGGGAAGAAACTCTTTTTTCTTTTTTTTTTCTTTTTTTTTTTACCAGGAAATCTTACGTTCTCGCTAATTGCTTATTCATATGTTCACGGACCAAAGAAAAGGTGTCGCTTCTTTTCTTTTTCTTGCGTGTCGAGAGGGAGCTGTCAACTGATCCTGTCAAATATATCTCATTTCAGAAATGCGATATTTGTACAAAAGCTGTATTAGGTAGCATAACTTTCTTTTCTTAATCCTTGAACTTAAATTATTCTTCTTTATTTTAAAAACACAAATCTTACATAATCAGATATTTTAACATGTTCAAGACATGAAAAAGAATTTTGAAGATTTTTTTATTCAGAACTAAGAGCATTCTAAGATCTAAGGTTATTCTTTTATGACAGAACAAATTGTCTGAAAATGACATAGTCAGAAGAATACGACAGGAAATATTTTGATACTTGTATAGTGAAGCCAAAAATGTATATGAACAACGTATTATGCAAAAAAAATAAATAAATAAATAAATAAAAATAAAACGCTGGGAAATTTTGCATTAACAGAATAATTTCGAAAAGATAACACGAAATAATCAATAGATTTATGCAGAAATATTTACAATTTTAAGTCACGACTAAATTATTTATAAATTACTAGGATGTTATAGTGGAACATAGCTATTCTATAGTTAATAGACTCTCCCACCTATAATAAATAGAAGTAGTAAGAGTAACGAGTACGTCGGCAGTGAGTGGGTCAGTCAGTCGATGTCGGACGACCATTAGTCGGATATTAAAGTATCAGCCACCCCAACTAGATTTCTCTGCGTCATTACCTATTATATGAAGTTCCTAACGTTTTGTATGTCGAACCTATTTTAGGACCGAATTGTACAAATGCAAGCCTCCACTGTGAAACCACTACATAACAACTTGGCGACGAGGGATTCGAACTCATACGGAGGACGAAAACCTTTTTCGTACTCTACAACATTAGAATAAGGGATGCAAGGCCACCAGTAAAAATGGTAACCTAACTGCTTAGTGGGTATGTCAAGTTCCAGCAGGTAAAGATATTTAATCATCTTGGCATTTTCGTAATTTCCAGAATTTTAGCAAAATATTAAGAAAGAAAATATCTTTATAAACAAAAAAAGAGTGCTGAAATGTCATGTAATGTCTAATTTCCCGCATAGTAAGGAAAGCTAGAGAATCTCTTCACAGGTAAAAAAAGGACCTCAATCGACAGATTATGGTTCTACTGACTAATGCTAAGCATAACCTGGGCAGAACTTGTTAGCAACGAGGAAGTCATAAGGAAAAATAGGATAACAAAGGAACCTATAATTACAATCAGAAAAAAAGACATCTGAAATTTCTGGTATATAAGAAAGAATGAAGGCCAAGAGAATTTAACACTTACAGGATATATTGAACGTAAGAGAAAAGGAAGAATCGGCGAATATCTTACTTAACAAGATTGTTTAAATGGATAACAGAACCAAAACAAAAAAAGAATGTAAAGTGTTAAAATTGCTTAGAGGAAAAATGAAAGCAGGAAATAATGGAGAGTGGTGAGGATTTACTACTAGGTTTGCTAGCTAGTCATTGTTGCAGTCGCCTGTTCAGGCATATTTGCATTTCTTCAGCACCCACAGAACTAACCTTTTGTTTATACTGCAACTATGATGAGTAGACGCCAGTTGCATATTCTGAGAGAGGACGTATAACGTGACATAATCAATAGTTA